TCTCTTCTGTTTGCTCACTTTGCATTTTGTAAATTGATAAACATAAACAATTACAATATATTTTTTTGAGAGCATTCTTATTTTATAGCATTTTTTCACACCTGCCTAAAACTTTTGCACAGTACTGTATATTTGTCCATTATTAGCAACAGACCTTATTTCTAAGTAAGGTCTGTTATTCCTTACTTAGAAGTTATTACTTTTGGTTATTCCAAAATATTCATGAGGTGATTATGGGAATTATGCAGCCATTTTCTAATAATTGAGCTACTGTTCTGTAATTTTATGTTATATTTATCAGCAACGAATAATTGTTGTACACAAATAATCATACAATTAGCCTTATCAAAGGAGGTCTCTGAAGAAATAGGTATAAAGAAATAAATTCATATGTACTTACTTTTTTGGTTTAAATTTTAAGAGCTGTGCTGCCACATGGCAAAGTAGGTAAGGGTCTTCTTTTACCAACAGTCTCAGTCCATTATGCTGCCACTAGTTCACCATGCAAATGATAATTTCTGTATATTATGGTCCTATTTTATTTATTCACTGGACAGTCATTCTCTCATCAGAGAATATTTTCAAGTGTTAAAAAGACACTACTACATAGTGCCTAAGTTCTAAAAATAAAAACTAAACTAAACATTTAAAGCCATTATACCACTGAAACTTCTATTAATGTGAAAATGAAAAAGAAGGAAGGCTTCACCTACCATAAAGAGCATTTCATAGTTTTCTATCATCTTCTGTACCACAGCAATAATTGCACTACTTTCCTCAGCACGTGCTGTACTTTGAACAGTGAATTCTTTGTCTGTTGTCTTCTGCTTGTGCAACAGATTAGGTCCAAATATAGTAGCTAGGTTGAGTGATGTCATTTTGTTCCCAGGGATCTAAAAAGAAATGAAAAGAAAAGAAATGGTGTACTATTTAAATGGAAATGGATTCCTAGCTCTTTGTATAGATAGTTTTGCTTAGCTAAACTGGTTACGATTCTGCATTTTCTAAGTCACTCTGTGCCATAAAAAAGAGCATTCCACTGAGGGGAATCAGGAGCAGCCACACAAAGTTTTGTGTGGTATTTGAAGGATGGCACTCCTCCCAAGAAACCTGTACATTCTAGAAGTTTCTGAATGCAGGAATAATCCTGTTGTATGAATGACAGAATATGAAACAAACATAGCTAAGTAATTAAAACAAGTGAGGATTTATAAACCAAATACACCCTGATTTAAATCTAAATTATCATGGCTTGTTCAGAAATAGTACAAAGACTGTTTCATATCATGGTTTCTTCTTTCCTTATCACAGTGCTGAACAAAACTGCATTACAGGTGGGCAGACCTAATACAGGGAACTGCACTGCTAATTTCTCAGTAAAAATCAGTGAAACGACCTTACCTCCTGGCTGTCTTGACCTCTTCTGTCTTCTGCATGGCTAGCTACAGTAGCAAGGAACTGGAGGAGTCGATGTAAGGTATCACAGTTGCAGGGAGGTAGAAGATAAATTAGAAGTTGTAGAGTGCTCAGTTGTTCATGGGGTTCCATTACTAACAGAGAAAATATTTTTTAAAAAGTGTTCTTATTAATTACTAAACTTTGTGTAACACTATTATCAGCTAATTCAGTGTTCTACACATTTTAATATTTTCAGGTATCTTAATGATCAGGTACAGCTGTGTAATGTCCGAAGAATTAGAAGGTTTAGAACATCCAGTTATTATTATATTTGGATGTGTGTAAAAAACCCCCTACCATAAATAACATTTTGATAGAAGTGCTGGCTCAGTTGAATTGCATATGATATTATCACAAGCAAGGTATGCATGACCCATAGTTCAAGACGTGGACTTCTTTAAGTTGCCTAATCCTTTTCAGCATTCTATACATTAAATCATTACAAGAAGTTATGGAGATGATTATCAGAATCAACCATTTCAAGTACGATTTTATCCCTAATCCATATTTATTTATATTTATAAAATATTATAATTCATATTTTTAAATATATATATATAAAAGAGAAGACCGTGCTCACAGAGTGTGTTGATAAAAGGAGTGTAAAGCTCTCTAGTCAGGAGTGGGTCAGGCATGTCACGAAGGAATTCCTTTAATAAAGCTGCTACATCATGAACGCTTTGTTCTTCGTCCAATATTACATCTACACCACGGTCAAACTCTTCACGTAACTAGAAGAATCAGTGCAGGAGGAAAAAAGTCTTGTCAAAAGTTTACATGATTATATTACACTTAAAAAAAAAAGTGATGGCATTATAGTTTTAGCTTTCAGCCAGAACCTTTCCCAAGTCCGGCTTATGCATTTTTCTAAAGATATATATACAGTATACTGTATATGGAACAAATAATCATAATGATCTTATTTGCTGTAGAAAAGGACTTCTTTCAGAATTAAAATTTGTAGCATACAGAGACCTTGAACCTTCTTTGACCAGAGAAAATGTCAAAATCTCAACTATTCCAAAGGTAGTCAATTACTAAAAGAAAATAGCAGTAAAGATTATTCTTCCAAATTGATATATTAGATGAATTCTGCCACTCTATTACATGTCTAGATCTAACTGGGATGCAACATTTTTGTTATTATGTTTTTATATTTCGTATTCACTTCTGAGTAAACCCTACTTTACAGCAGAAAATCAATAACTACAAAATACTGCAATAATAATAATTATTATGGTTTTATTGCTTTAATTTAATTCATGATTCAGTACATTATTAATCTATCTGTGCCTCTTATAATTTTTCTGTGGTCCTTCTGATTTTAGCTCTTTTCCTGATAATTTAAAGTTTATAATATGGGGAGGGCTACAATACCCACATTCCTGGTCATTGGCCATAATGGCTGCAGGAATCCAAAATATCTGAAGACTTGTGGTTTACATGATCATCCGTTACGAAGAAGAAATAGCAATGGCAATTTGTATTTAGATGTTTAATACTAATAATATGAATATTATAAATTGCTTTCATTATTTCATGACGTATTTAATGTATGGAATGTCTTTCTTTGAAATATTTTAGTGTGACAGTTGTCATATTAAAAGGAATCTAATCAAACATTTCACAGAAACAGAAAGTAGAGCAATCCACCCTAGTTCAAAGGATTATCAGGACAGGCTGTTTCTTTTAAATATATAGGAAACCACCATTGAAACTGATATGGAAACAAAAGAGAATTTTGGAAAAGAGAATTTAATTGCAACTTTAACATAATACATAACTGATATTCAGATCCTTATATTACTTACACCATTTAGTTACCAGATAAGAATTGAAAACTATTTTAAAAATAGACAGCAAATTTTACTGGAAATAAAAAATAGATGAAAGATCCCAGTTCTAAAAAACACATATTTTTTAAAAAATAAGATATTGACATTTTCCTGGATATATTACTACTATATATTTAAAGAAGGACTATAATGAAAGATGACACTGACCAATACAAAACAGTGAGTTTCATGAGGTATGATAAAAACTCACCTGTCTTACCCTTTTTTTTGAGCTCCCCACTCGGAATATGCCTACTGTCTGGAGACCTGTAAAATGGCATATACATTATTATGTTATTATCATTATCATTACATATACATTGGCATATAAATATATAACATTTTTAGAACATTATGCTGTATATAACTTTTATAATATCTTATTTCTGTTTCTTATTCCTAATAGCACTACCCTATCTGCCAGAAGACAGCATTCCAAAATATGCATACAATTTAGGAATAAGTGCGTTCAATAAAACCTACTTCTATGCACCACTATAGTTTTTTGGTTTTTTTAAATACAGGATAATGTTCCAAAGTGACACTAGAGGGAAGCATAAGACCAATGTTGCCCATACAAAGTTGCATAACAAATTTATAAAAAGATGCCTAGGCCTCAACGCACTTGTGCAATAAAAATGTTGTATTTCTAGATTGAAAAGTACACAGACATAGCTCTTGGATACTGCACCAGCTCAGGCTTTATTTTTTACCAGATGAGTAGAAGGGATGAGGACAAGTATGGTTGTGAAATATTTAACCTTGGCTTTCAGGCTGCATGTAGCTTCCAGAGGCCCTCCAGCATTACACTACCGAAACTCAACAAACTGCTGAACATCAGCACTATGATTTTCCTTTGAATTTGAGCAAAATGTGCTAACCCACATTAAAACTACTAATATCCCATATCAAAGTCTCAAACGCTTGCATGAAATTATTTTAGAATCTAAGACTTATTGCAGCTAAGTTTCAGGACCAAATGAAGTCCAACAATTTGAGACCCTCACCTGTCTCCTAATATATCTCCCCACATCAGGTAACAGTGGTAGACTGTGATTTTGACAAAAATGTTGTGGCATTCATCATTTCCTCTATTTTTTAAAACTGTCCCTCTTAACTTCTATAGAAGAAAAAAATACCCATGAGTATTCTCCAATTCCACAGCTGAAGTAGAAACTGGCTTTCTCAATTATTACTACTTTGACTAGGTTCACAGCCCTTATTTCAGGGAAGAAAAGCCACACTTTGAACCAACAAACTTGTATGAAAAAGAATCCATACAATTTTTAGTGCTCTCAGACTCGTATATTCAATTCACCAATCTGATTCAATGCTTTGAGTCAATTCCAGTTTTCCGGTGGCATCTGATTATATTCATCCCAATTTGGAAAGCTGATTTAGTTTGGGGGATTCAATCAAATTGCTTTCAAACTCCAAATCAAATCTTTGTACAGTGCTATAAGCTGTTTGCACATCTGAGATAAAATATACTTACCATGTTTTTCTAAATGCTGGCAGCAGCTATCTACAAGCCGAGGAACTTGCCTGTAAATAGGATTGAGGCTTAGTTTTTTGTCCCTGGATTTTTCTTTCTTGTTCTGAGCTTCAGCAGGTAAGGATAACTGTAGAGCTTCTAGTAATCGAGACTGACTATCATCAAGATCAGTAATAGAATCCACTGACATTGCACCCTACAACAAACACACACATTTGGTAAAGATGGAAGGAAGACACTTCTCTTCTTTAATCCATCATGGAAAAAAAAAAGGTTAACCTATAACAGAAGGTATTAACTGGGGCAGAAATCTATTTTAAGTTCTCCTCTAAGTGGTGAATGATCATTATAGTTGTCAGTGGGTAGCTCAAGACAAATGCCATGATTCTACTAGCCATGTTAGATGCTACCTGTTCCATGCCTGTCCAAGCTGAGGTAGTTCTGAGGCTATAGTTGTTTGGTCTGCTCCCATTCATCAGTTGGTCCAGTTCATTCACTTTGTTCCCATCCCAAGTCAAAATGGAGGCAATTGCTGCCATACACAGCAATGTGAAGACTGCTGCTGGGCAGATATGGCAAACTACAAACATTTTGCTGAAGAAGATGGAGAAAGAACAGCAGCATCTCTCCAAAGGTAATAACCACTTTTCTATACAACTTTGTCTGGAAACAGCTTCTTGCCTAACCACTACTGTAAATTCTTTATTAGTAAGCTCTACTAGGTATTAACTATCATTATTAATTTCTACTTTGACAAGTAATTAAGGCAAATAACAAAATTTTAGAAACAATGTATAAAAAGTTTAAAATACAGATTAAAAACAACTATAAACATTAAAATAATCTATTAAAAATATGTGTTAAGGGTTGTACTTTAAACCTGCACATTTCTACTCTTGAAGAATAATCTCTTTTTCTCTTTACCCAATTACTGGAGTTTATAAGTGAGATTGCATCTGCCAGTGAATCCTAACTGCTATTATTCAATGCACAATTAATGAGAAATGTATCAGTGGGTGTATAAATATGTTGCCTATATGAAACAAGTTTATATCTCTGTTTCTGCCAACACTGCTCTGATCATAACCTGTAATGGAATATAGGCCCCAAGAGGATTCCTCTGAGGTGGGCGGAAAAATCTGACTCTTGTGTAAACAGAAATGAAAATAAGGTGAACAATAGAGAATTAGGCAATCAATATGTGCATCCTGAAGCAATTTGAGGTACACAACAGGTGAGACAACTGTTTCGACGAGAAATCCTTCAAATTTTGTTCAGTATTTACTGACAAAATGGAGAGGTTTGCCATTGGGGAACAACTGATTTGGGCATATTTTCAACTTCTGCAAGTCATATTATGGTGACAAAATTTGACATCAAACTTCCACTCAACACTTGTTCATTGTTTCTATGAGTAGAATAAAAGTTACTTTATTTAATTTTAATTAATTGTTAGGTCCTATTAACTGGATATCATTTAAACTGCCATGGAGAAGATCCTATAAGTATGAGGAGCTGAGCCATACAGAGCTTCATAGATGAGGACTTGCACTGGAAACTGCAAACTGGAAACAGTGCAGTGTAAACACTGCAGTGATCTTAGCACGTGTGCACACTTGTAATTCTCCTACCACCAATTAGCAGAAGGACCATTGCATTTTGGATCAACTATAACTTCCAAGTCATTTTCAAAGGCAACCACATGTAGAATGTATTGCAATGATCTATCTGCAAGGTGATGAGGGCATGAATGACTGTTGTCAGGTCATCCCAGTCCAAAAACATCCAGTTTGATCATCAACAAATATCATTTCAATCTTTCAGGGATTTGCCTTTGTTTTGATCCAGCCTCTAGAGCACTGTTTCTCAACCTCAACAACCTTATGATGTGTGGCTGGGGAATTCTAGGACTTGAAATCCACATATCAAGTTGCTAAGGTTGACAAACGCTGTTCTAGATACTAGTTCAGGACTTCAACAACATCCCTAGTCTGGTTTTTGATGGCAATGTACAACTGTGCACGATGAGCATACTGATGATACTGCAACCAAACTTCCCTCGAGTGGCTTCATGCAGATATTAAACAGCACACAGCACCCCACACTGGAGCAACCACAGGCACAGCTGTTCTGCCTCCACATACACTGCCTGGAATTGCCTTCTCAGGAAAGAGAGGAACCACTGCAAAACAGTGCCACCATTCCTTTACCCTCATCAATTGCCCAGAAGGATACTGTAGTTGATGGATTATACATCTTTGCTAATTTGAACAAAAGTAACAGTAATGTTATATGGTAGACGGTTTTTGGCTCTTCATATCCATCATAGATCAGCAATTAAAAAGTACAGTGGTACCTCTAGTTACGAACTTAATCCGTTCCGTGACTCTGGTTCCAACTCGAGTTGG